CAAAGTGGCAGCCACCCCCAGGGTTGGTTATATCTCTTCTCATCCCACGCAAGTCAGCAGAGCCAGGTCTTCAGTTCTTTCCAAAAAACTGGGAGGGTGGAGGCCCGCCTCACCTCTGGGGGGAGAATATTCCATAGGGCAGCAGCAATGGCAGAGAAGGCTCTCCTCCTGGGCCCTGCCAGTCTTCTCCCACCAATAGGGTCTGCAACATACCCTCTCTGCCTGACCAGGTGGGACAGATCAATGTGATAGGGGTGAGATGGTCCCTCAGGTAACCTGGACCCATGCCATGTAGGGCTTTAAATGTGATAACCAACACCTTGATTGGACCCGGCAGCAAACTGGCACCCAGTGCAGCTCCTGCAGCAAAGGTGTTAGATGTGCCATCTTTGGAGCATCCAAAATTGCCCACGCAGCTGCATTGTGGACCAGCTGTAACTTCTGGATACTCTTCAAGGGTAGCCCCGTGTAGAGCACATTGCAATTGCTAGCTGGGGAATTCTAGGAGTCTACATATGTTAAAGTTGCCAAGGTTGAAAAACACTGATATAAACTGGTCATGTGATTGTATATTTGGTATACAGCTCTACAAATTCCAAATAAAATACTTGACTACATCAGATACTGTTGGCATATTAGACTATGATCCCAAAGTAATCAAGGTAGCCTTCCCTAATTGGTGCCACCCCCCCCCCACCACATCTCATGGACTACAATTTCCATACTTTTTACCTAACCATAATTTTCCCAAGACATATGAAGAGTGCCAGGTTGAATAAAGTAGAAACTACATATGCATATACATATTTTTCCCACTATGTGTTTCACATGACAAGCAGACTCTTTGTTTATATGCACAATCTTTCATGAGGTATGTGTTTAACTGAAACTCCTGAAAGTATTAGTTAAGCATGTATCTTGTTTTATATTGCCTTCTTCATAATCGTTTTTCATGACCGCTTGGCCACTGCTGCAATCAAACTTTGCCTCAACCTGCTGCCTCAGTCTTTATACCAGGAATGTGAGAATATCTGTATTATCAGCTAGCAGTTCCCACCTAACCTTAATATCATTACCTACCAAAGGGGTCAGATATCTGCCTCACTGAAGGACAGTTCCAACATTATCATTTCAGTGCCAACATTTTCCTTTCTGTTGTAATACTCCAGTGGTAATCCTTAAATGCTATGGACTGTATAGTATATAATTCCTCAAGCAAGTACTATAGTAATATAATGGTTTGTCTTGCAGAGCTGTTGCATGAATCACAGAACTTTTTGTTATGACGCTCCTTTTATAATAAAAGGGATGGGCAAGGTCTACATAGGGTTCCCCTGAATTTTCTCTTCTCTCCATGAGGGTCAACATTTCATGGACATAAGTATATTGCTTCATTCTGTCAACTTTGTGCCTTCTTCACCAATCTTTCCTGTAGATATCTTCTTCTGCATAAGGAATTCTATTTTTGACTACAAAAATATTGTTCTGATGTTGGACATCAGAAGTAGAAGGTATGATGTTTAATAATAGGATTTTGTATTTTACAAAAAACAAACAAATCCAAACCCAAAACCAGCCAGCTATCATTGGTGTTAGACTTGAAGGCTCCCTAGTCAGATCAACATAAATGGAACACAGGATTGTGTGAGAAATATAAGGAAGATATTGTGTGTGTGTGTGCGCGCGTGCCTTCGTGTTGACTCCTGGCAACTGCCTGGACAAATCCCTGCAGTTTTCTTGGCAAGGTTTCAGAAGTGGCTGCCATTGCCTGCTTCCTAGGGCTGAAAGAGAGTGACTGGCCCCAGGTAACCCAGCTGGCTTCATGCCCAAAGTGGAACTAGAACACACAGTCTGTAGCCTGATGCCTTAACCACTGCACCAAACTGATTCTATAAGGAAGATTGGATATAAATATGCCACATAACTAATGGCAAACAGGGAAAACGTGCATGATGTTATGAAATTAATAGCCTTGTAATGAACAGGAAGGGTAGAAATAATTAAAAATAGATCAACCTGGTTTTTCTTAAATCAAGACAGATGGAATTCAGTTCAGTTTTGACTTCTAGAAGCCCATAGAGAAATCTTTCCATTGCCTTAAGAACAGATGTGTTCATGATGGTTTTTTCCAGTTGAATTCCTTTTTCCTAGAAGCCCTTTGTTTTATAAAACTAGAGCTAAAGTAGGTGACCTACAGCATTGTTTCCTACCATCAGCTGCTTCATGTTTGAAATAGTCTATTGTGTACTGGCAGATTAGATGAGCTCTTTGCTAACCTTAGTTAATAATCCTTCTGAATGCCTTTCCCTGGATTGGATCATGATGTTGTTTGGAGGAGTGAGCATCTGTTTCAGTTCAAGGCTTTTGGCTGCACTCTAGTTCTGTTTCTGTGGTCCTGCTGACCTACAATTATATGTGTCCGCTATCCAGCCCAAGGTCGGCCGTGCGTTATCTTGTGTTGCTCTCAGCAGAGTAGTTGTTAATCACCATTTCTATGCCAGTGGGCCTTTTGGAGGCCATTGAGAAAAAAATCCACATTTTTTCTGCAGTTCTCACTGAGACTGATAAAAAAGAACTTGTTTTGAAATTTATTTTAAAGGAGAAGAGAATTAAAGTGACATTCTCGTGGGTGGAATGTGTGTATGTGAATATGATGCTTTTCTCTGTGCATGTTTTTTCTCCAGCAATCTGCTGTCTTCCTCTCTTCCCATGCGTCAATTAAAGCCGCTGGGCTTTTTCAGAGTAGAAAGTATGGATAACCTGGGAAGTTTCAAATTTATGGAAAGATGTAGCAGTAGTAGTACTCAGTCACACCTCCAACAATTAAGTAACGTCAAAAACACCATCAAGAGAAATCCGAAATAAATTCCTAAGCACTCTGAGACTAAGACAGAAGCCTCCTTCTCAGTAGAAGAAAATGTTTCAGAAATTGCAGTGCAAATTTCAGGACTGCACTAGTTCTTATACTGTAGTAGCGGGCACCTTTGATTTCAGATGCTTGTTTTCTACCACGCAGTGCTTGAATGGCATAGGACATACTTAACATGCATGAATTAACAGCCAAGTGCTATGAAGTGTGGGGTGATATATATTTGCTTCATATTATTTATTTAAGCAATTTTCCAAAGTAGGAAGCAATTTTCATCCCACTTTTCAAAAAGATTTCTTCTGAGATGCATCTCTAAATGCAACACCAACCCAGTTAAAATGAAAAGGTCTCTTATTTTTTTTTTAAGGATTTTGTCATATGTTGAAAGGAAACAAAGTAGATCCCTGTTCTGAAGATGATGATGATGTTCAGCAGAGGAAGTGCCACCACTGTCAAAAGCTGCTCATGGCCACTTGGACAATCTCAAAAGGCAGAGGCATTGAGAACCTCCTAAGGAAAAAAAATAATGTAGTAGATGATCATTCAGATATCTAAACTCTATGGCACTGGCTCAGAAAAGAGAATAAATTTTCACCTGCAACAAAATGTTGCTATATCTCCTCAACCCAGAGTGCACATTATAGGAGTTTGAAGCTGGAAATTCCAGTCCTCCCTCTTTCTTTCTTTCTTTCTTTCTTTCTTTCTTTCTTTCTTTCTTTCTTTCTTTCTTTCTTTCTTTCTTTCTTTCTTTCTTTCTTTCTTTCTTTCTTTCTTTCTTTCTTCACTGCCGACTGATACTCAACATTTTGTTGTTGGTGAACTTGGCTGTTCCTCTTAGAACTGTTTTTGCTAGTTTATTATTATTAAACTTATTATTAAACTTTGGCAAATATTGAGGTTCCCTGGAGCATGCTGATACCTCCCCTTGGTTTCTCAGATGTTCTCTTTTAGCTTCTAATATGGTCAGTAATTATCACCTGTTCAGGCTATTAGGGACAGTATATTTTTATTTACCCATACCTAAAGCAACATCTTAGTATAAATATGCATACATTTCAAAAATAATGGGTAAGACAAGAATTTAGAGTCTCATGAAAAAACAGGCTTGTTTGATCATTCTAAGGCCCACTGCTTAGCTGAGTAGTATTACCATCACCTTTAAAAACTTTGTCAATTGAAGCAAACCACTTGCTAATCCTTCAAAGGAATTACTCTCTGTCTAATGCATAGGACAGATGGCTGTTAATCTGCAGCTCCTGGATGTGGTAGATCAATCTCTCTTTACAGTCTGAATAGTGCATGTAAAGTGTGAAAGTTCACTAGCTTCAAGAAGATCAAGCAGATTTAGATGAGTGAGTAGGTAAATGCATGTCATTGATAACCCTCTCGAGTGGGAAGAGCAGTAAGGTGGGACAGCAACCTAACTTGTAAGATATTTTTATTCACATGTTGCTGTGGAGAGTGGGAGTGATGTAATGAGAGGCAGGGTGTCAATTACATTCCAGCTGTCAGAAAAAGCAGAATTATAGATATTAGATGAGCATGAATTCTAATAAGATACCATGCAGGTGCCCAGATTTTACTTTGGAATTGTCTCTGGAGGTGTGTATCAGCTTCTCCACTGAATTTTAATACAGCTCTAATGATGAAGGAATTTCTGCACTAAGAAACCCCTGTCAAATTAGAGTTTGGATCCTGAAACCACAGTGGATGGGAGGTTTTGACAGCTGTAGCCCCAGCACGTCAGAGGGCATCAGGCTGGGAAAGCTGCTGAAAACAAACTGTCAGTTGGACAGGGAGGAAGCACTTGTGTATCTCTTAGAAGTCTAGAAGCTGGTGTCATCCAATGACAGTGTTTGGAAGTAGATGCAGAACATTAGGGAATTAGTTGCTATAAGCTGATGACGACTAGGTTAAATGACTATAAGAGGGTTTGGCAAACTTGCAGAGGTTTGTTATTAGCCAATGAAATAAAAGCTTCATGTTCCACATGCTGCTAAAGTCAACATCAAGAGAGGACAGTTACTTTTATGCACAGCTTCTGTGTTTCCGGGAAGCACCCACTTGGGAAAAAGAATGTGGTATTAGATGGACATGTTTTGAACTTGTGTTTTCATTTCTCTTCATTCAGGGTACATTGAGGAGGCCTGCATCATTCCATGTCCATCAGACTGCAAGCTCAGTGAGTGGTCCAACTGGTCTCGCTGTAGCAAATCCTGTGGGAGTGGGGTGAAAGTCAGGTCTAAATGGCTCCGGGAGAAGCCTTACAATGGTGGAAGGCCCTGCCCTAAGTTGGATCATGTCAATCAGGTAAATGATCTCTAATTCCTCATCATCAGTATTCCCTTTCCAAGAATGAGGCTTGCTTCTCACTGAAATATCTACATAGGATCATACTGTATGAAACAACCAACAGAGAACAAATTATTTTTATTGCCTAGACCAAGGGAATATCTCTTCTCCTTTTTGATGTTAACAGAGATGGCACGCTTGTTGGTTTATATTAGAGCTGCAAATCATTTAGATTAATCAATGTTTTGTCTAATTCAGTGTTTCTCAACCTTGGCAACTTGAAGATGTGTGGAGTGGCTGGGCAATTCTGGGACTTGAAGTCCACACATCTTCAAGTTGCCAAGGTTGAGAAACAGTGGTCTAATTGAACAACTAAAAAGGACTTTCTCAAGCAGAACAAAATATAGATCCAAAATATGTATATTTAATACATAAAAGCTGAAGATGGTATCCTTCCATTATTATCACCCCAAAGTAAATATAGCTTCTGAGATTATTCTTACTAATGCACCATTTAAAACACTGCCTTTCATGATCAGTGCTATTGTTCTATGCAGATAAAATTAAATGGTGCATTAAAACTTATTAATTAACTAATGCTCATTTAACTACAGTTGATGGGACAGCCCTCCTTTATACCAGTTCACTGCCATTCTAAGGAAACTTGATTTTAATTGGCTTGAGAGTTTATTTTTGTTTGAAATAATATGTGTATGTGTGTGTAAGAGAGAAAGAAAAAAGAAATCTGATGGCTAAACACAGGAAAATGATAGTGCTATGCTGAATTTCCAAGTGATGCTTATACAAGCCAAATGAATAAATGAATAAATAAAAAAACTCTAGATTGGACCCTAGTTTAGGTTCTTGTAACAGATTCCCTGAGTAAGTTACTCATAACATAGTTAAAATGTGTAAGCATGGCAGTAGCATTCCTCCTTGTACAAAACTATTGAATAGGAGAAAGCCGCCTTTGTGCTTCTTCTCAGTCTTCTTTTATGTCCATCTTGAATGTTGATTAATTTGCATATTGTTCAGCAAGTGAAATGGCCAAGTTTATACTTCCATAAATTCCCTTTCACATGGGATGTAAACAGAGGAGGCACTGTTGGCCGTTGGTTAAATGCCTTTGTGTGGACATTTTGTGGGCTGAGAAGGAAATGGCTTCCTGATTTGATTTTCCACTTAAGAGAATGTAATTACTTCTAGTTTAGAAAATAGTAAGTGTTGAACTAAAATTAATAAACCAACACTGTAATTCAATGTAATATGAAACACAATTGAGTGTGAAAGCTCAATTTGAAGCCATCCAAAAGTGAGATGGTGTGGAGAGAGAAATATTTTAATAAAGTGACTTGAAATAAATGTTCTACTTTCAAACTACTTCAAAGTATAGTTCAAAACATGCAAGATACCAAAGTAATGAACAATTAGATGGGCAAATTCTGAAGCTTCTGAGGTTTATTTCTACAACTCTACTGCCCTCCTGTGGCAGAAGAGTGTTTGTTATATGTTTAGATTTACTTTTTTATTAGAAAGGTTCATCCAGATCAGCCTTCCCAAACTTAATGCTCTCCAGATGCATTTGACTTCAACTCTCAATTCCCAGATAGGATCAGCCAGTGGCTGTACTGAATCAGGACCGTAGGTGTTGAAATCCAACAGATCTGGAGAGTATCTGAAGGCTGATCCAGATTAGTGTTTTAGTCTCTCATTGTTCTAATGTTTAAGTGTTTCCCCAGAGTTTATACTTAGATATCTGAGAGTTGCAATTTGCTTTTATTCCTGTTATTTTACAATACATTGACATAATTGCCTATACTGTAATTTATACTGAAAACATACCATTTAGTGAAAGTAATGCAAGATGGGATTCAAAATGGATTTTAGCAAGGAAGTGGTTATGGGCACCTTTGTTTGGGACAAAAGGATGGTTAAATGAAATGAATGAAGTATCTAGGTGAATGGGGGTAATTCACACCCACAGATTCATCACCTAGAATGTTTCAGTGAGAAGAGCCAGGACAGTGGCTACAATGAAGAACAGTGGAAATGTCTGTCTAAACCAGTCATACCAATATATGTAGCTCTCCAAAGAGGTAAAAGACTTTAAGTAACACACATGGATGTAAAAAGAAGTATGGAGACAGAACACGAAGACCAGCATGTCTGTGCAGTATGTCTTTCATGCATCATGTCTTGGTGCATCTTTCTGTAGCAATAGATTACACAAAGAAATTGCTGCTGATGCTGCAGCAGTAATAAAATAATAAAAACAACAACAACCCAAAACCATGAGAAAATGGAGTGATTGTGTATCTACTGCACTGAAGGATATTCTGAGACCTTGATAGCTTAGATTCCTTGTTGAAGTCGCTTTTTGTTAAATCTGTAATCATGCTCTACCTTGTGACAGAGCCAGGCTACAGACAAAATGCAATTAACCTGCCCTATGTCCAACTGAAGGAAATCAAGAAGCTGTATGCAAGACTGTGGCTGTACTGAAAACTGTACAGGAAGTGTAACATCCTTTGAAAGAGAAAAGTCAGGATTAAAAGATGATGTATGGCTGGAGAGAAATTTTAAGAGTGTATTAATTCATATATTCATTAGGAACTCTAATTTTTATGCTTCTAATATGCTTCTTATTTAACCCAAGTAAGTGAGTCTAACTGTAAAAGCAGTAAAAGCAAAGTGAAAGTAATTTAATGCCCATATCTTTTCTAGAGTCTAGATTCTAGAAATTTGTTTTATTACTGCTAAGTTTCTGAAAAGAAACAAATAAACAGATTTCTACCTAATTGTAATCCAGATCTGAAAATTGGTTACTGTTTCCTGAGATTTGCGATCCAGAAATTGCTACTGTTTTTCTAAAGTTTTTTAATGGTGTTATTAATGTTCTTCCTGTATCCAAGAATCATATAAATCGGGAGGTTTTGAAATGTTTTGCTTCAACCCTCAGTCCCACGTTGTTCCAAATGAGACAGACCTGGGTAGATTTTTTCTCACGTTATAGAACAGTGTTTCTCAACCTTAGCAACTTTAAGATGTGTGGACTTCAACTCCCAGAATTCCCC